GAGCCAATGACCAGTAAACATCGCAAAAGTATTGTTAAATCATTGGATGAAGCTGATAAGCATGCGATTAGGAGGAAAGTGCATGAATTCTTCTTTAGGAATGAAATACCTACTATAGATAAAGTACTGCAGGAGTTAAATGGAGATACAACGTTGCCAAATTTCAAACGATCAACTTTCCATGAGTTACTGAAGCATTTAAATTTCAAATGGAAAAAACGGGGTCGGAATAGTTTACTACTGGATAGAGAAGAAATTGTGCTACGGAGGAGGGATTATTTAACAAAAATTGGGAAATATATAGAAATCAAAACAGGAAGATTTATTACCTTGATGAAACGTGAGTAAACGCAGGACACACTACAAGTAAAGTATGGGTTGATGATTCTGTAACTTCATCCAGGAGGGCCTTGCTAGATGGACTGTCGACCAGATTAAAAAATCCAGCAGGTAAATACGAGTAATAGACAACAATCGGATGTTTTTCAAACCTTGGGAACAAGGTTCTAAACATTAATTCCAGGGGGCAGATAAAACACATTACAAGTAACAAAACTTTTATAACTTTCGATAAAATGCGTGGATGTTTTATTGTCATTTTCATTTGTTAGAAATTTTTTAAGCCATGTTTTTATGTGTTTTCGATATTTCAATAATTTTTTAATATAAGCTTAAAATATGTCGAATATTATAAACTTAAAAAAAGTTACTAAGTTTTATATTGTGTACCGTTCCTAATATTTCTAATCATTTTAATTCATACTTTAAGCTTTATAAAGTTATAATTTGTTAATATTAATATTTGCGCGTATTTCAGGTTCCTGATCATTCATTTTTTAAAGGTTTATAACTTTAAATTAAATTGTGAAGCGCTGAGTAATCATACGACGTTCAATATTCTTTCTTTCAATATGACTAAATAATCCCAATTATAGCAATCTGATACTCATGTCTCAATGTTTTTTCGCTGAATGTGATGAAAACATTTGAAAAAGGTTCGCTTATTGAAATAAATCTACACCAGTTAGTACTTCGAATTCCAGGTAAAGGGAAAAGGCTCATTATCTGCCATATTGGCAGTGAGGATGGATTTGTTGTTGACGGTCTGTGGTGCTTTCAGTCTAAGAAAACTGGAGATTACCACGAAGAAATGAATGGCGAATCGTTTGAACAGTGGTTTTCAAAAATTTTACCGAACTTAGAGGAAAACGCAGTAATTGTGTTGGATAATGCGCCTTATCATTCTCGAAGAATGGAGACGGTCCCAACAACGGCTTCAAGGAAAGTTGATGTTCAAAATTGGCTCCGCTCGAAAAATATCAACTTTGAAGAAGCAATGCTGAAAGTACAATTATTAAGAATTGTCAAGGATCACAAGGCGGAATATCAAAAATACGCCATTGACAAAATGGCAGCAAGTCAAAATAAAACTGTGCTCCGTTTACCTCCATACCATTGCGAGCTCAATCCCATTGAGCTCATATGGGCAGAGGTTAAAAATTATATAGCTAAGCACAATACAACTTTTAAATTTTGTGACCTCAAAGGAGTTTTCAAAGAAGCACTAGAATTAATAACAGGGCAAAAATGCGAAAACTGTATTAAGCACGTGAAAGACAAAGTTGAAAAGAGAATGTGGGAACTGGACAGTATTTTAGAGGAACAAGTCGAGCCATTCATTATTGACGTTGGTGCTTCAGGCAGTAGCGATGATGAAAGCTCATCAAGCTCATCTTTCCAATAAAAGATGTCGTTCATCAAATTCGGTAAGTTATAAGTAATTATAAAGCTACTGTATTTTTTAATTAATTATTGACATTTTTGAACCCATTTTGGCAAAACCTATTCAAGAATCTACTTTCTGACAATGTTCAACCATGCACATTTTTTTACGTTTTGAACGTTTTAATTTGGTTACATATTTACCTAGAAATCAAAACATATACTAATCAATATTCTAAAAGCAATTTTAAGAGATATACGATTATTTTTAATTTAGGCTAATTTAAACGCCATTTTGAGATTATATTCGACTGTATTTCACCAAACATCAGGCGGCATCCGAAGCTGGAAATCGAAGCGAAAATTTTGAAACCCGTATGTATATTTACATCATTATATATTTCTTACCCCACCCCCACATGATCCTATATCCATCACCAATCGTATACACATCGAATTGTGCTAATTTACTACAAAGTTACGCAAAGCAGCATCTACTATCTAAAATATGTACTGCGTGACTCTTAATACGTCCCTGCCGAATGTTACAGCGTTCGATGATCACGTGGTCTTGTTTATGTCCGGTCTATCTCTTATCTGAATATACTGTAGTTACATCGCTCCGAATTTCAGCTTGCCAACATCATCTGTCCAAAAAATAAGTGGTGGGGCCTTCTCGAAACGCACGCTTAGTAAGTACTTCGCCGTGAAGTACCATTAACTTTTGCTGGTAGTGTATAGTACCTAATTAACAGATGAATTTCTATTAGTATCCATAACGCGGTGAAAAACGGACGGAGAGCTCAGAATTAATATTCAAAACAAATGAAATAGAGTTTGGTAGAGAAACGGGATGGTCTGGCAGGAACGGCTCGGCTACCGTAGCAGTTTTAAATTATATAACAGAGATAATTATGTAAAAATGTGAGGAAGAAAATAATTGGAAATGAAAATGCGGAAGAGAAGTAATCTGCAAATGAAATTCCGCCGGCGCAACGGCAAGCGGTAGCGTACAGCTGGCTAATTATTTAAAAACAATTCAGACTTTGCAATTAGCAAATGAAGAAATAAAACTGGAAATTCCTAAAACAACTTTTTTAATTAAGTCGCAGATTAAATCTGAATAATCCAAAAATCCTCATTTGCTATTAATTATGAATAATTCTTTTAAAAAGTACTTTTACGGAATTGCCAGGTTGGATTATTATTTATAGAGCTGGAATGGTAGAATCAGAATTTTTCGTTTGCACTGGAATGAAATGGGAAGATGGACTCACGATAGTGGCGTTTGTTTTACACATAATTTCGGATACACTCACGACACTTTACACAGTTTATTGCACCTTCTTTTTACCAAAACTCAGTTAAACCCACCTTACCTGATTTGGCATCACTTGCAGCTTTTAGGTTAAGTTTACTTTGTTTAGGTGCAACATCCACCGAATAAAATTGAGAGGTTTTTAACTTTACTTAGAATTAGATCCTTGCAGTGATCCATGTCATCAAAGCGCAAAAATGTTTGGCTTTGAGTATAGCTCCATGATCAAATAAACAATGTAATTTTTTTAGGTTATGTTGGGAGCGATTCTGACCAAGGTCAGCCCTGCTGTTTTCTATTTGGACTGTCTCAGGTCACTTTTAAAATGAACGCAACTAATGTGGAACATAGTACTATAATATACTAATAAGTAGGTACTAAGGACCTTCTAAAATATCTTCAGCATAATCAGTCTAACACCGTAGATCCACAAGTGCCGCTTATCAACAGATTCGACTACTGCGAGAGTGAATACCAGCTGTCTGCTGCTGGAGTTGCAAAAGTATCTTGGTGGCTTCGAAATCAGAGTTAACAATTTACACCCAAAATTTGATAAATACAAAAGTGTACAGATGTTATATACAGGGTGTTAATAAAGTATGTAGACAAACCTTAACCATCTAATCCTTGGTCAATTTGAAGACTGAATGTTCATATGAACATGGGTCCGTAACGGCTTTCTCTTCGAGCTAGAACACTATCACTAAAGAAATACGAGTAATGTTCCAAATATTTCTATGAATAATGAAACGTATTTACTGAACAGTTGGTATAACCTATGATAAATGTTGCAAGTTTTACAAGTTACTGAGGCTGAATATGAACGTGAATGAAAATAGTATTATCCTGTATTTTTGGAAAAAAAAAATTATTTAGAACGTCAATAGATTTGAACAGTAACATTCAAATAGAACGACAACAATAGAAAATATCGAATAGTTGACCTGACAAGAAAACAAATATTTGACAGCTTTCGAATCATTTGAGAAAATAAATTAGTTCAATTGTTTTCGGGTACGTCATAGGTGTCTAGATAAGCACAATGCTTAGATATTAAAAGTATTGCGATCAAAACAAATCAACGTCGTGCTATTTTTTCAAAAAATACTGGATAACATTATCCGTATCAACGTACATGGAGGGTCTGGAAATAACTGTAAATCATGTGATATTCACCACAGGGCATGCTTAATTCAAATAATATACGTTCTATTCTTTCAAATTTTTTAAAAAAATATCATTTTTTTAGTGCTGGTATGCTCTAGCTTGAAAACAAAGCCGTTGCGGACTCATGTTCATATGGAAATTTCATTTTCAAATTGACCAAGGATTCGATGTTAACGTTTGCCTACATACTTTATTAACACCTTGTATACTGTATCTTGTTCTCCATTCTTTTTTATATAAAAAGTAAATATAACAATTTAATAAAGGTATAATTTGAAACCAAATTACTTGAATAAAAAGGTAAGTCCCCTTGTTCGGAGCTCTAAAGAAATTTTAGTTTGAAAAGCTACAGGCGTATTTTATCGTTCTGCGGGAGCTGCAAAAGTATCTCGGTAGCATCGATACTCCCTAATGAAAACCAATAATGTTTACTATACAACTGTTTCGTACTTATTGGCAGTCATCAGCACGAACTAGGCTTGGTTATCGGAGGTGTAAGGTCTGTTCAAGTAGTGTTCAAGTGTTATTTTTTACCAGAATCGACCGCTGAGAGAGTGAAAAACTGATATCTATTGGAAATGTAACCTAGATACCAAGCTTAGAGCATTCCGATGATTGCCAATAAGCATGAAACAGGAGTTGGGCATCTGTGGTCAGACGAATGAAAGCAGCGTTATTACGATAAATCAATTGGGGAGCTGAAAGTTTACGTTTACAGTTGCGGAGTAAGCCCATTTAGTTATTTGGTCAGGTTTACATAACGACTCTTGATATTACAAAGACTGTCGATTACCTGTGGTATGCTGTTCTTTAATGTGAATCACCATCTTATCCCAAAGGGGCTTTGCAAACGGTTGTTTGGCTTCTAATTTACCTTCAATAAAATCAAAAATTGTGTTTCTAGCGATTAGTTTTACTCTAACATTGTACTTGTTACGCATTCCTGAACGATACTGCTGTTTCTAAATTGCAAAAAATTTGTTCTTGTACGGACTTCGTGCAATGCAAGGTGCAAAATCCAAAATTGGTACACTGGATATCGCTTATTTTGGATATTGAAGACGATTGTAAGACTTGCAAATTGCAATGCACAGGGACAATAAAATAATTATGTCCTTCCGCAATCTATTTCAGATCGAAGAAGCATTGAAAATGTTTCATTGATTTCATTTTCAAGACTCATCAAAAATTCCAATGTTAAACCAAATTTTTGTGGGCCGTGCTGAGTCAATCTACTTGACTCTACTTTTCCTGGACTACAAGCTTGGAACGGAGCTTCTTCCACCAGAGAAACTGCTGTACGCCCGCGCCTGAGGTGGATGAATATGAATAATGAATACAGTTATCGTTTAGTTCATATTTTTGATGGGATACGGCGGCACACAGCGAAATGAAATTTGCATCTGTAAGAGATATGCTGGCGAGATCAAAGCTGGCTCTGGCCGGGATCACCCTCCGACCCCCACCCTTACATCCCCAATCCCCCACTTCCTTCTTTTCGGCCTCACTTCAATCCACTTCGCTCGTTTTCTGCCTTCCGCCATCAAGTGTCGCTTGAAGGCTCTTTTCGGGAACCCTTTCCGGGATTGGTTTTATTTTTGGGGAATTAGCAGGTTTCTAGCACGGAATAAAACGTACAAAATCAGTTTTACAATGGGAGTTGTGGGCATTGAAATCAATATGAGCTTTTATATAAGCTTTTCTGAGCGATAACTGCTCTATCTACATCAGTATTTTTGATTTTTTTATACCGAAAAAGCCACGTAGGTAAAAGCCCCAATACTGGGGCACCATGGCTGCAATGAGGAGTCTAAAGACGCCTTGCTAATCCGATATTTGAACTTCCTAATAATAATAAAACTGGAAAAATCCTCCCCAGGCAGATTTTTTCACAATCTCAACGCCCAAAGGCTAAGGAGCGGTCGTATCGACCAGTTCTGGGTCTAAGAAGTTCGACACGGTAAGGCTGGGAGGCCGAAATCAGACATGTCTGTATAGCAGGCTCATCGCGCGACAGAATCATGGACGAGAGCTCTGAGGAGCAAAGTTCGTTAACATAGCGGCAGTAGAGAAGCAGATTGCCAACGGCCTGACAGTGCGAAAGGGTCCCAAGACAGTCCGTTAAAGAAGAATCATCGATCACCGTTAAAAATAAATTTGACCTTCAAATGACCTTCAAGATCACAGGTACATTGGCGGTCAAGAACATGATAGTGACCTTGACAGTGATTTTTTTTGAGAATTTCGCATCGGTCTTAAGTTCCTTTGTCACAAAGATCTATGCAACTACAATTATATCCTCCAGTCTCGCTGTAAAAATTATTCCACGTAAAATGTTTTGCGTTTTTATACCCTTAAAAAAAAGAACAGGTTTTACTTGAAAGTTTATCTGGTCTTAATATGAAAATGAAGTTATCTCTAACGTATAGTTCAGGAATTAGAAATTCATCTTGCTTGTTAAATATTCATATGATTTTCAAATGACTTTGATGGTCCTAGTCAAGGTCGTTTCTTGCTATTTCCGGTTCAAGTAAACTATCTTGAACTTCAAATAAACTTCAACGTCATAAGCAAGGTCAGGTTCAAGTTCAACATCAGATAAATCTTCTCTAACCTTACAACTTTATTACAGAATGTTTTTCTTCATGAAACATATTTTCCGATACCCATCAAGTTCATGGTCAAGGTCATAGGCAAAGTCATAGTTTAACGTAGGATTTCTTTCTCTTTACATTTATGGTGTGAAAAAAAGGAGTAGAATTGAGAAAACGGTCTTAATCTTCAAATGACCTTGAAAGTAATAGTCAAGGTCACATTCAATATCACCATTAAATGGAACTTTGCAATTATATTTTACAATATTTTTCTTTATGAATCGTATTTTTAGAGACATATTGTCCTTTCCCTACTTTTTGAAATCCAGTCATGGTCAAGGTCACAGACATAGTTTGACGAAGGATTTCCCTCTCGTTACATTTCCGGAGTCAAAAATTGCGGTTTCAATTGAGAAAACTGTCTTGATCTTCAAATGACTTTGGAGATAATAGTCAAGGTCACGTCCAACATTACCATTAGATGGAACCTTGAAAACCTTACAACTTTGCTCTAGGAAACGTTATTTTAGTTTAGTAACAAAAGATAAATTGAAATTCGAATTTGTTCTTACCTCAAATTGCATCTGTTCATTTGACATGGTTTCCAGTTATCTAGACCGCCTGGCCTTAATAGTATCAAAGGAGTATGATCATAAATTTCTGAGCATTTATGAGTCCATGACCTCCACCTCAGCCTATCCATCACCCTTTGGATTGAAATACACCCTGGCAATATCCAGAATAGCCCGCTTTTAGACGAAGGCGTGGCATGGATGTAATTCGGTTGCCGGCCCTCGCACCCCCAACCAAATGAGTTATTCATCCGAAAGATTTATGAACGTTTCGGATGGTGGCCGGCACCGCCTTCAGGTGCGATCCAGACTGGTTTTTCCCCGTTTTTTTTGACGGTTTCAACTGGCGGTATTTCACGGGAGGATTTATGAGAAGATTGGATTTGTTTTATACATAAGAGACGTGAGTGCGTTTTGGGAGATAAATGCGAGGGAAATGCATGGATAGAGACATGGATGAGGTTACGCGATGAATATTTACCTTACTTAGGTTTTCAGGATGTTTTATATACATGCCACATTCTAAACATAAGGAGTAAAGACCTAACCATGGACAGCCGTTTCTTGCCCTTTGGGTACTCATCAGCGTGGCCTAGGTTTGGTCTATTGGACAAACAATGAAAGCATAGAAACTAAACACTATCAAAAGTGTGAGTTCTATCGAAACAAGATATCGTGAAGCGCCATCTACTACTAGAATCCATCATTGCGAACAGTGAGTAGCAGCTACTGGTTGAAACTGTATAGATCTCAGATCGCTAGAATACCACGATTCTAGCTGTGAAGTAGTTGTGGTCTACTTGCCATTGAATTGTCAACTGAGTTGTCTTGAGAAGGTCTAAACTTAATCATGCCTCATCCTACGAGAACATTTGGAGTAAAGTCATAGTAATGTGGTTAAAGACAGCGCCTAGATCTATTGGGATATTGCAGTGAAGGATCGCGTCCACGCTTTAAATTGAAATACTCTGAGATTATTACATCAAAGGATGTCCCAATAGATTGAATCAGTGCAAAGAACAAAAAAAAAATCCGATTGGCTGTAGGTGGGATAAATGTGTGCTCGCACCGTAAACAGAGAAAACGGCAACGATAGCTTCATCTCCGTGCCAGGGATAATGAAGTAAAAGCCGCCGCCCGCCGTGTCGCGTCACTTCAAAAAGACTGGGAAATTGATACGCAATTTTTTCACTAGATTCGCGCCTCGTGCGCTGATTTCTGCAAAGGCGTATCACTGGGCTTAAGTAGCGATGAAGGGATGCAAGGATACTATATACCACCTGTATCAAAAGTAATGGAACGACTCTATATTAGCCAGCTAACGTACATTTGACAAACGTCAGGTTCGGGTCTTTACTAACTTTGAACGAGAAATTCAATAGTGACCTTAAATTTGACAAACAGCGTCGCGTATAATATTGTATTAAGGTCAACTTTTGTTTTTTTAGTTAGGAAGCCCCCAAATGGCGGTCAAATATGTTAGGTTATGGAAAATTCCTAGGGGTTCAGCAGAATTGTTGATAAAAAAGATCAAGGTAAGACCTTCAGTAACTTTTAACAAGGATTTCGTTCGAGCTCACAACACTCAGGATGATGTTTGATGAAAAAGTTACCCAGCAATAATTATAATATACTAAGTGACATAAATCCGAACACCCAGTTTAACTGGTTTTATTTTAATAAATTTTGTATAAGTACTTAACGAAGCATAATAAGTAAATGATAAAAATTTCAAAATGATTGCACTGCTTTAAAGCCCTTTGACCTTTGATAATGTGTGGATGCACCCTGATGTGCTACGCATTCTCCAACGCGCCTAGGCATGCTTCTGATCAGGTGGTCAATGTCCTCCTGTGGTATCTCATTCCAGGCAACCACTAACTCCTCTCGAAGTGCTTCTAGAGTCTGAGGAGGACGTTGCAAATTGAGCAATCTCCTACCCATCATATCCCACACGTGCTCAATTGGGGATAAGTCGGGAGATCTTGGTGGCCATGGTAACAATGTGACATCATTATGTTGAAAGAAGTATATTGTGACTCTTGCAACATGTGGTCGGGCATTATCTTGTTGGAAAGTTGGATCTGCCAGGGTGTCAAGATAGGGTAAAAGATGGGGTTCTAGAACTTCGTGGATATAACGCTGCGCGTTCATGTTACCTCTGATGAAGATTAAAGGTGACCTGGAACCATAAGCTATAGCACCCCAAACCATAACTCCAACAGTGTGATGAACATGTCTTTCAACAAAAAACTGTGGATTCCTCCTTTCACCACGTCGCCTTCTAACCCTGGCACGACCATCGTGCATGCCTAAACAAATTCGAGACTCGTCACTAAAGACAATACTGTTCCATTCCTGATCCCAGAGTGACCGTTGTCTGCACCACTTAAGGCGATTACGTCGGTGTTCTCGAGTTAAAGGGAGGACCCAGTGTGGCCGGTATGAAAACAAGCCAAAACTTCCCATTCGTCGGTAAACACTTCGCATGCCAATAGGTCTTCCGTGTTCTGCAAGCCATTCTTTTGCAATGGACCTGGTAGTGAAGAAACGGTCCCTTAAGGCGAATAATCTTAGGCGGCGATCTTCACGGTCTGTTGTTCTACGGCGGCGTCCAGTGCCCTTTGCTCTTTGCGTACGGCCTTCTCGAAGCCATGCCTGACAACACCTAACCACAGTGTCTACACTTCTTTGCACTCTAACTGCAA